CAGTCTTTCCAAGACACCTTGCTGAATGCAGACACTGGGTCCCAGTGTTATAGCGTTTTCAGCAGAGAAGACTGGTCGGACATGGGTTTAAGCCATAAGAAAGTCGTCATTAGCCAGCCAGCAGCTACACTGGGTGTTCAAGATCCCAGGGTAGTCTGAGCCCTTAAGCACAAAAGCCATGTTCTAGGTTGACATGCTTCAGTTAACAAGAACAGTTAGCCAGAAGCAGAACTACAGAAGCAAACAAGCAAGGTTAGTATATGTAGAGATTTTCCTAGAACTATATGGACTTTGATGGATAAGGCCTGTTTCAGTTTTGGCTGGTGGAGCTGTCTGTTTGCTGGGTTTTACAGCCTGAGTGGTGTTTCTGTCATGGAGACAGTTGTGCTGAGGTCGGGGGCCCTGTTTCCAGTGCCCTGTTTCCTTTGTACCACCACGCCACTTCTTGGCATGTGCTGTGTGTTCTTTTGCCTGCTTGTTGTCCATACTCTCCAAAAGAACAAGGGCTCTATTAGGTAAGGTCATGTCTATCTGCCTCCCTGCTGTATCTGTGGCTCCTAGAATAATACCAGACACACAGTTCTTGTTTGGCATAATTGCTAAATGAAGAAGCAAATGATTCTTCCTGGGTACCACTGAAAGCCAGGGCTGGCAAGATGACTCAGTGGGTAAAGGTACCTGCCAACTTGAATTAAATCTCTGGAATCCACAGCCGAGAACTAACTCCCACTAGTAGTCTTCTGACCTGTACCCCATGCCCACCCCCAAGAAAAATAAAATGTAAAAAATAAAATAAAATAAGAAGAAAGAGAGACATCTCAAGGACAGGTGACTATATGCAAAGAGGGCAATGTGTAGCTTTGAGGGGGGATTTAAATTGAGGGCCAAAAATTCACTTTGAAGGAAATAAAGTTTTGGCTCCACTTAACTAGGCATGAAGAGACTATAACTAGGCATAAGAGACAGTTGGGTCCTCAACAAGGGAGGTATCCAGTTGAGCTCATTTCTGGGCCTCAACCATGAGGATGCTTTCAGACAGCAGCTCTGCGAATACTCCAAAATCCCACAAAGATGATGAAGAGGCAATCCCTCATCCAAGCAGCTGCTGTGTCCTGTTATCCTAGGGCACTCCTTTAAAGGGGGTTCAAACCAGGATCCTGAGGCCACTGTGCTCACTGCCTTGCGACTCTTGGGGCTTGCCTCTGGGCTGGGACAAAAGCAGCCACCCCAGGATGCCTTGGGAATCTGCATGGGCTGCTTGTGGCTTTCCTTCAGAAGTCAAGGCTCAGTCCTTAAGACAACGTGAGACACTGGAGAGTGGCCCCTTTTATTAGGTTCACCCTCTTCGCAGCAGAGAGACCATAGTGTTTGCCCATAACCTGAAATACTCAAAGGCTAGGGCACTGAAAAGAGGCCTTTAGGCCTCTTTGTCACCATTAATCTGGTCCCTGCTGGTTTCTACCCTTTTGCATCAGAAAGGCTTTATTTTCTCTCTTTCTCTCTCTCTCTTTTTAAGAGGAGGAGAAACAGCTGTGCAGGATTTGAGAATGGGATTTTAATGGTCACTGACAGTACACAAAAGCTCTTCTGTGATGGTGGAGTGTTCTGGGGGCAATTGCCTCCTTTGTCTGAGGGCAGTGACACAAGCAGGCCACTCCGGGGAAAAGAGAAACAACTGGGACATGTGACTAAGGTACCATCCAGCACATGTGCACAGCACTGTTCCCAGGCATCCATCATGATGGGGTTTTACTCGCATTTGCCTTTTGAAAGAAGCAAATATATTTGGAAGGTGTGAGGCATGAATTATTTTCCTAGGTGTTGCTCTCTGGTAATTGTGACTGAGAAAATGTGGTTGTTCGTGTAATGCAGGCTTCTCTCTGGGGGAGAAAGAAACTAGCCCTTCTTAACCACAGGGCAGTTGACAAATTACTCATCCCTTTCATGGGTTAAGAAATCCCAACTGATTACGGATACTGTGGGGCTTCTCCAAGTGGAACATTGACAAGGCTTGGGGGTTGGGTAAATAGCTCCAAGATGGAGCCATACCTGAAGAATCCTGTGTCCATCCTGTTACCCTGTTCAGTGGGGTGCAGGTCCAGGCCTGAACACGAGCATGAGCCAATGGTGCCAATCAATGTTGATCTGCCTCTATGTGAGGCTTGACTGTGCTGATGGGACCATGGTTATAACCTGGGTCTCTGCCAATAGTTCTTCCTCCAATGGGAATGGCACAGGCCAGAGGCACTCTGGCAAGGCTGGCATTGATTTGCTTTCTGCTAGCCTCTATGACAGCTTGGCTGGAGAAATCCATGAAAGGGTTATTCTCTAGACATGAGGATGGACGGGTGAGACACAGCATGACATGTGGATGCTCTGTCTGTCACTCAGTCCAGCTTTTCATGAGACTTGGGCTAGAAGCAGCATGGTCGCGGGAACCATCATACAACGACGCTGTGTAGAGGGTAAGTGTACAGCATAGACTCTGCCACAGATACGTGCACTTGCTCATTGTAATACTGAGTGCCAACGAAGCAAGCTGGGTTCACATTTAAGATGTCAGTTACAACAAAATCACAAACTCAGTGGTTCAGAGCACTGGCTGCTCTTTCAGAGGACCCAGGTTTTGTTCATAGCACCCACGTGGTGGTAACAACCACCTGTAACTCCAGTTTCAGGGGATCTGACAACTTCTTTTGGACTCTGTAAGTAACACACACACACACATGGTGCACAAAGGCAAAACCTCCATATACATAAAGTAAAAACAAATCTTTAAAATAAATCAGAAACCCATATAAGAGAAAATATGAATAATGCAAATACAAAAAAATTAAGATTTAAATCTAAATGCAAATTTTGTTAATTGACTACTTTTGTTTGTTTTTTGAGATAGGGTTTCTCTGTGTAACCTTGACTGTCCTGGAGTCACTTTGTAGACCAGGCTGGCCTCGAACTCACAGAGATCCACTTGATTATAGGCATGAGGTACCACACTGGCTTTTTCTTTTTCAATACTTTTGTTTATTTTAAAAAGACATTTATTTTATGTATATGAGTGCTCTATCTGCATGAATACCTGCATGCCAGAAGAGGGCATCAGATCTCATTGTAGATGGTTGTAAACCACCATGTGGTTGCTGGAATTGAACTCAGAAGGAAGAGCAGACAGTGCTCTTAGCTGCTGAGCCATCCAGCCCCTGGCTGAGTACATTTAACTGTAGAAATAATATCTGAAATATTGTATAGCCTCATTCTGATCCAAAAACCTCATTTTAAATATTGTTTTTGAGAGAATAATGAAAAGTGAGTAATAAAGGATTTTTGTCGTTTTTGAGACTAGGTAAGGTTTTAGGGCCTTGAACTTACGGAGATCTATCTGTCTCTGACTCCTGAGAGTTTGCATTAGAGCAAGTGCTCTCATAACTAGCCCTGAATGCTTTGATTATTGATGATAGACCATTTACTATGTTTAGCCATGAGATTACCTATGTGAACTGCACTCCTAGGATAGGAGGAAAGTAAACATCCCGCTGTGGACACTTGAGATGCATAATAGTTAACTTTGTCTTGTGGCTCCTTTTTTCTATTTAAGTTTAAAAGAGAATGTGTTTGTTCTGATCGGACTCTTAGCTGCTTAACAAAGTCCTGAGATGAGCTTCTGTCTCCACTTGTGCTACATAACCTTTTCCTCTCCTAAATTCAGAGTCCAGGGTGCTAACCACCACACATGGGAAACTCCTGCCTTAAATTCAGAACTCTAAACCTTACCGAAGATGTATCTGATTCATTAGCTGTGAGGCTTTAGTCCAAGTCTCTTAGCCCCTCTTCCTAGTCTCTCTTTTTTTAAATCCGAGCCAGTGAGGTCACGTGCTCCCCAGGGCCACACTAAGGAATACACGACATATTGCAGCTAAAGTGTCTGGCATGGTGTCATGTATGCTGTGGGTTCTTAATGCTGGCTACATAGAAAGGCTATCTGGGGAGAGGGGCTATAAGGGTGATGTTTGACTGTTGAAACAGGAAGCCAAATTGGGTATATTTGCTTCACCTTTATGCTGTAGAATAGGGCACAAATCCTTATTTAACTAGCGCCATCAGAATCTCTATTTAACTAGCAATAAGAGGCACAGTCATGAATTTTCTTATTGCTTATTCTTTCTGGAACATTTACAAGGGTTTATGCACTTTATTGCACATCTGAAGTATGCTGTTTTATAAGACCCTCAAGACCTTATCCGCTGCAGCAGCTGAAGGGGGGAGGTTTAGAAAATACTTCTTTTGATGGGATTCCTCCTTCCAGTGGCTAACCACCTCCCCCCCAAGAATAAAACCCCAGTGTCTGGAATTCAGGAAACCTTTGGCCTATCCAGATCTCCTTTCTTCCTTTTCTTCTAATATACCATGCAAGAACCTTTGTGACTTGTCTCATTTCTACTGGAGAGATCCTATCCATCCTTCCAGGCTTCACTCAAATATGGCTTCTTCTAGGAAGCCTTACAGGACGCTGCCTGGCAGAATTGAGACACCTTCCTCAGGGCTGGATGTGTGTACATTGCTCAGTTGTTGTGAGACCATTGGTCCAAGTCCTAATTCTTCCAGGTGAAACACACACACACACACACACACACACACACACACACACACACACACAGAGAGAGAGAGAGAGAGAGAGAGAGAATTAGCAATTTTCACCTTTATACGCCTTTGATAGCCCTGTAAACTAAGACAATCCAGAAATTAAAAAATAAACAACCATTTCACCAACAAGTGCTTCTGCTACAAAATAAGTAAGGCCCCTATGGTCCCTGCTGGTCTAGGGAGATACAGACTTATTAGACAGGGGTGATAGGAGCAGGAAATCCAGAGGCAACGCTCTCTGTGTCTTTAAGGGATTTGCATGGGGACTGTGGTCCATCTTCAGCACCTCCTTCTCTGATGCTCTCATCACCCTTCCTCAGCCTCCATCTCCACTGACCAGATTGTCCCCCTTTGGCTAGTCAGTTGCAGGGCTGGGACGTATTATGATGGATCACAAGAACGCTGCATTTTATGTCCAAATGGAACCTTCCAAAATGAGGAAGGACAAGTCACTTGCGAACCATGCCCAAGACCAGAAAATCTTGGGGCCCTAAAAATCTCAGAAGTCTGGAATATATCTGAATGTGGAGGTAAGGGTTCTGTCTGTCCATTCTCACCCCTCCAATCCCCAGTGTCATTGTTTAGACTAAGGTTGGATGGTGCCCAAAGACTCTGGATGGTGTACACTGGACCTTGGTCTTCTCACAAGCAGGGCACATGTTGGCTTCATTATTAGTCTCTAATGCTGGGTTGGCACCTGACACGCTGGGCTGATGCCCACATGAGCAAATGAATGAAGAAGGGGACACAGCTCAATTGGTGGAGTTTGAGCTCCAGGACTGCATTAACTGGGGGTGGTAGTAGACAGTTGTAACTCAGTACTTGGGAGGTGGAGTCAGGAAAATCAGGAGTTCAAGGTTATCTTTGACTACATAGTTGAGTTTGAGGTCAGCTCGGGCTACATGAGACTCTGTCTCAAAAGTAAAGACAAAAGGATGGGGAAGATATTGGCAGAACAGTATAAATGTTTCACTTACACGCATTCTTCACTCTGTAAATATGCACACTGGAGACCTTGGTCTAAAGGGCCCTGGTCAACTAAATGGGTCACAAAACAAAAACAAAAATCATAGAAAGGAACAGGTAGTGATGAGGGAATATTCATAGGGATGGGATGGAGGGACAAGTAAATTCAAAGAGAGTAGTTAGAAGACCCTGGATACATGCTGATATAAAATTAATCCATAAAAAATAATTGGAAAAATACCAAAAATCTCACAAGTAAACAAAAGATGGGATTTGGGTGGGGTTGCAAGAGACACAGACTCAAGGAAGTACCTTGCTAATGACAAGTTGCTTCCTATAGAACAAGGGCTTCTGGGAGTCTTTCATTAATGTCTGACTCCTTCCCTGATCTGGAAGGGAAAAAGAAAGCATGGTTTAAAGTCAATGTCACTGGGTCCCTCTGTCCATGTGGAGTCAGGTAGTTGGGTTTAGTAGACTGACTGAGGTAGGCCAGGAAAGACCTCGGTGCAAGAAGATGCAGCCAAAAAATGGTGCAATGGGAGGCTCTTTAAGTCTGTGCGTGCAGTTACTAGTCAAGGCCGGGCTTCTGAGTCTAGTCACCAGATTGTCTCCATAGCAGAGATAGTCCCATTCCCCTCGCTCCAGTCCCACCCCAGTCAAATCCCATTACAAGGGATCCCTGCGTAGCATGCAGGCCAAGGCTCCACACATACTAGGCCTTTCTTACACTAGAAGCAGATGGCATGACCTCATCCTGCCCATCTTTACCCTGGGCTCTCTATGCCTGTGTGTCAACTTCAGGTTCTTGCCCACCTCCTACTGAGGGACTTGCTGGGTGCTTCTCATGGATGTCTGAGCTGAAGTCTGTATGGGGTATCAGCCTCACAAAGGCCTGTCTCTTCTGCAGAGAGGTGGGGAAGGGCCTCCGTAGGGGGAATGAGCTTCTTCACTCACTCAGCGCCATTCTTCACTCCCTGCAGGCCTGTGTCAACCAGGTGAATATTCAGCAGATGGATTTGCCCCTTGCCAGCTCTGTGCCCTGGGCACCTTTCAGCCTGATGTGGGCCGTACATCATGTTTCCCATGTGGAGGAGGTCTTCCCACCAAACATCTGGGAGCCACTTCCTTCCAGGACTGTGAAACCAGAGGTGAGTCCTTGCTTGCCCCTTTCTGGAACGCCACTTCTCTTCTGAGTTCCACTGGGTCAGGTGGAGATCTGATCCAGCCCGGTCCAGGCTGGCCTGTGGCAGGGCTTCAGGTCTCCCCAGCCACCGAGGCCACTCACAGAAGTGCGATGGCTGGGCAGCAGTACATAGGTTTCACAAACAGACCTCCTGGGCTCTGCCCCTCTAGCCTTCTATCTCAGCAGCCTCGCCACCCCCTACCAGTCTCCTCCAGAGTCACACTTCCCTGTTTCTCCCAAGGGAGGGCCACTTCAGCCTCAGTCTGTGTCCTCAGTGCTCCTCCTACCCTGAAGATATAAGAGGTGACCACTGTCGCCTGGCCATGTGTATTCATGTTCAGTTTTTTTTTGTTTGTTTGTTTGTTTTTCCTGAGTGCTTTAAATACCTTACACTCTGGCCAGTGAGGGAATCAAGTGTTGATTAATCTCAGTTTGCCAGGAAGGCAGTATTTCATTTAGGCATATGAATTTTTTTTTATAAGCCTTGAAGTATTTGGTTAAAAATAGTCTTTTTCTTCACAGTTCAATGTTCGCCTGGGCATTTCTACAACACCACCACACACCGATGTATTCGTTGCCCACTGGGGACATACCAGCCGGAATTTGGAAAAAATAACTGTGTTTCCTGTCCGGGCAATACGACCACTGACTTTGATGGCTCCACCAACTTAACACAGTGTAAAAGTAGGTTTTTCTTTACGGTGTTTCACAGGCTGGACTGCAGGGTGAGTGCCTGGGTTGGACTTGGGCAGGGAAGTGTGAGGAGGCAGCTGGGGTCCCAGGTTCATTTGGGGTCATGTGCATGTTAGTCCCACTCTCATAGCTAAGTGGACCAGTGTAGGAGAGGGAGGGGCTGCAGTGCTCTTGGCTGTTAAAATGGGAGCTAGAGCTGTGACCCAGAATTCCTCACCCTCTTAACCTGTGTGCTGTGGGGATTGAACCAAGCGCTTAAGACAGAGTGCATCCTCTATCCCTGAGCCTCACCCCACTGCTTCTCTGCACTTACAACTGTCCTTTTCCCTGGAGGATAATTTAGTTCAGTCTAGCGCACCAGGCATTGTGAGAGAGCCTGCCCTGTGCCCAGCATCCTGTTAAGTCAGCAGGGCCTGCTAAGGAGTATGAGCCATAGCTTCAACAATGGGGAACTGAATCATTTAAGGGCTTTGCTAATGTGGCTATTTCCTGCATTACCTACTGTATGGAAATTCCATAGTAAAGGCTAAAAGCAGAGCTCACTTATCTAAGGGTGACCCCATCCAGGCTAGAGAGGAGGCCTCCCCAGCGTGGGGGGCTTGGGGTCGAGAGGAGCAGCGGATCAGTGAGTTTTATGGCTAACAGGTTAGTTTTCTCTCCCTGGTTGTTTTGTGTTGTGTTTTGTCTTCACTTCGGTAGTGGAGACTGAATCTAGGGCCTGGTGCATGTGAGGCAAGGAGTTTTCCACCAAGCTGCAGCCCAAGCCCCGAGTGTCCTCTCTGTCTCAGTGTAGTTGTAGCCACAGATGCTGGTCTCGAATGCCTGCTTTGATGGCAGTCTCACTGCTGCATATGAGAGCCTCTTGTGTTGGTGGATTAGACTTTGGGAAGGCTTATAGTGTTAGGGGGTTCTCCTGTATGTCAAGGTGACCCTATTCCTAGGAGCAGGGATGCACAGTTCCTCAGGCAACCCTGAATTCCATAGCTCTCCCCTCTCCTTTTCTTCCCAGAAGAAAAGCCTAGTATTATGATTGTTTTTTTTTAAAACTACTACTAACTCCCAGCTATAGTCAGAGAAGAAACCCCCCCCCCCATGTCTCTGGTACAGGTTTACCTACCACTGTTAAACAGTACGCCCCTTCAACTCCTGACTGTGTCTGCCTCAGTTCTGAGCCCCAGATCTTTGGGGGGACAGGTGGAGGATCCAGTACCTGACAACAAAGCTGACATAGTGAGCATGTCCCCATGAGCTCTTTTCCTTTGATGCAGATGTAAACACATAGCATGCTCAAGTGCATCTAACAGGTCATTGAAACTCCCTTCTCCATTTAAAAATAAAACGTGGCTTTAAACAGAAAGGTGAGAAATGTTTGTTTTATATTCACCAAAGGTCTTGGTAAACTGTTCCCTACTGAGCTATGAGCTGTGTTCTGAGTTCAGTGTCATGTTCCCCTGATGAATGGAATTGTAACAAAATAGCAAAGACTAAATGCGTTGAGAAGAGGGTGGGCTACTTTGGAGAGGCCGCGGTCGTGTCATTTCCTAGCAACAGAGAGTCTGTGGATCTCAGCCATCCTTGGGGTGTATATAATAGCAATGACAGTGTTCTGCCCTCCTAACTCATGGCACTTCCTTTCCAGACAGAAAGTGTGGAGGGGAGCTGGGGGATTTCACAGGGTATATTGAATCCCCAAACTACCCTGGGAACTACCCAGCCAACTCAGACTGCACCTGGGCCATCAGCCCACCCCCCAAACGTCGCATCCTGATTGTGGTCCCTGAGATCTTCCTGCCCATTGAGGATGACTGCGGTGACTACCTGGTGATGCGGAAAACCTGTGCGTCTCTCCCTGGGCTTCCCTCCCTTCCCAAGGCAGTCTGGGAAACCTGCTGACCTGCCCCCAGCTTTAAATGTGAGGAGCAGGCCTAGTAGATTCTTTTCTTCCTAGTAAAACAGAGATGGGACATGAGTTTGTGGGGCTGGCTTGACACTGTTCACTCCAGGGGGCAACACACAGTTTAGGGACTGCCCAAGGCCAAAGGCACAAAAGAAGGTCCCTCCTGTTATCCCAGCTCAGCCTCTGGCATCTATAAAGAAGCACTTCTCAACTTATGGGTCTCGACCCCTTTGACAAACCTCTATTCCTCCAAATATTAACATCACAATTCATAACAGGAGAAAAATTGCAGTTGCGAAGTAGCAATGAGAGTTAATTTATGTTTGGGGGTCACCACAACACAAGGAGCTGTAGTAAAGGGTCACAGCATCAGGAAGGTTGAGAGCCGCTGCACAAAGGGGTGCTACCATCAGTGCAGCCTGATGACAGGGCCGAGAGCGGGTTCAATCCCAGATTCACCTCCAACTGGGTCTGTGATCTTGGGTGGAAGTTCTGAACCTCTCACTGTAGCTTCTGGGAGAGGGGGCAGAAATGACTGTGGCTGCCTTGCAGGGTTGTTAGGACTGAAAGAGTTCAAGTTGTAGAATGCTTGGAAGAAGCCATGTGTCTGTCTGTCTTTCTTCTTTTTTAAAAAAAATTTACTGGTATATACTACCTATGTAAAATAATGGACTTCATTATGACATGTTCAGACATGTAAATGATATTTTTTGGTCATATTCTCCCTCTGTTATCCTCTTGTGTCTCCTTCCAGCTTAACCCCTTCCTCTTTCCAATTAGTCTCTCCTGTGTTTGTCTTTGGGAGGGAGTTGTTTGTTTTGTTTTCTGTGATCTGTGAGCATGGGTGAAAAGTTGTTTACAGGAATGTGGGCACTTTCCCAGTGACTATGTAACTGGAGAAAATGTGTCTCTCCCACGCACCCATTAGTTGTGTAGATCATAGGGTGGTGGTGGGGGAGGGGTGGAGGCTGTGATCATGAGCTCCTCCTCTCTTCCTAAGATGATATGGATAAGCCCAGTCTGGTACACACGCTGTGAGTCCGAGAGTGCAATGACCATACTGGTGGTTAAAATGCCTGAAGTTGGATGAGGGTTGGAATCCTATCCTTGCCACACACTTGCTGTGGCCCCTGGGCCACAAGTCCTTACTGTAATAGAGGCGGTAAGTGATCAGCCTTTGTGGCTTCAGAGGAATCAATGAGATCAAGCCTATAAAATACTTAGTGTTCTTCTGGAAAGCTACAATATGTGGGGGAGACTCTTGCTGGGTATAAGCAACTGGCTCTGAACTCTGGGGCCCCTTCTCTACTCCTACTGTGGATGGGGAGGCCTGGGCTGCAGCCATTTGTCAGGCTGAGGGCAGGTGGGGCTTAGCCTTGGGGTAAAGTATAATTCCCCAGTGGAATCTTCTCTGTTTCCAATGCATTCTACTGGTAGGATGAGTCAGAGAGTGGTGTGTGTGTATGTGTGTGTGTGTGACCTGTGCAGGCCTGAGGACAACTGCAGTTGCCATTCCTCAGATGCCGTTCACCTTGCTTTTTTGAAGCAGGTTCTCGCACTGGCCAAGTAGGCTAGGCTGTCTGGGCGCAACCCCAGGGATACGTGTGTCTCAGCTGTCCCATGACCACTATGTCTGACTTCAAAACAAAACAACAACAAAACCAAACAACCCCCCATGGGTTCTGGAATCAATCTCAAGGCTTCATGTTTGCAAGGCAAACACTTTATCTAAGGAGCTGTTTCCCCAGCCCAACAGTTCTTGAGTTTAACTTATTGTGTGGGTTAAGCGTTTTTAAAGATGAGCATTCCCTCACTTCTGGCTCCATGACACTTCTTGAACCCCTAACCCCCATCTTCCCTTGGCAGCTTCATCAAATTCTGTGACCACATATGAAACCTGCCAGACCTACGAACGCCCCATCGCCTTCACCTCCAGGTCAAAGAAACTGTGGATTCAATTCAAGTCCAATGAAGGAAACAGTGCCCGAGGATTCCAGGTCCCCTACGTGACATATGATGGTAAGCAAGAGCTGCTCTCAGGCTGCTGCCATGGCAGGGGTGGGGTGGCTCGGCTCTGAACTGAAGGAATTGGCTTCTGAGCCAGTTGGCATACGCTTGCAAGCACACCCACTCCAGCTAGCCTGGCAGGGTGAGGCGAAAGGACGTGGCTGACTCACTGGGGCCATATTTTAAACAGATATTTGGGGTCATTAACTGTGGGGAGGAAAAAGAATGGCTGAGAAAATACAGGGGAAGTGAGCAGAGTCAGGTGTGAGAGCATGGCTGTGGAGTCAGCCAGCCAGCTGATCAGGACTTGTGTAGGTAACTCACCTTCTCTAAGTCTTGTTTTCTTGATTTCCCACGGTGACTGAACCTAGGGTTTCTAACTCTGAGCTGCACCTCTAGTCAAGCCATATTTTCTTAATCAGTGATGAAGAAAATAATTTGAATGAACTTTAAGAGTTTAACACGGGACAGATAGTAACTGCTCAAAAATATATGACCTTTTTAAGGTTGTGGCTTTATTAGATAGACTCTGGAGAAGGGTAGAGGCTTAATTTCAGGTCTTGATCCTGCTTTGGACTATGAGATCTCAGGCAAGTCAGATGATGTTTCTGGATCTTTTTGATCCCTGGAGACCTACTGAGACTCTTGAGACTTGGTCAACAAATATTTACTGTGACCAGAACACAAAAGTGTGTATTTTGTCATAGATGCTTGTGTAGGGCGCATACAAGGCACTGTGAGCACAGAGTGGAAGAAGGCAGCAATTATTCTGAATAGGCTTCCAGGGAACAGATCAGTTTCAAGAGGTTTGGGTCTTGAAAGAACATGTGAATTGGAGTGAGACATGAATAAAGAGAAAGAACATTCTTGAAGAGGCCAAATGACAGAGGACCTGGCAAAATTGGGCTCTGATTTGGCCATAGGGTAGGGAGCACACAGAGGAAAACAGATGAGGGTGGGGCTAGTCAGTGGGTAGCCTTCAATGCCAAACTCGGGAGAGCAGAATTCATTTTATAGGGAGCCATTAAAGAATTTTAGGCAGAGAGACAACATTCTTGGCTTTCCTAAACTTACTTTATATAGTTTATTTCTAAAGAGTGATACAAACTAAACTCATTCTGCCCTGCAGTTGTCTCACATAAAGTCTAACGCCCAGGACAAGGGTTCTTGGAATCTGCCTTCTGGGAAGGAGAACTGAGAGCTGAGTCTAATTCCTTCCTGGAAGTAGGTATCCAGCAGGCTCTCCTGTCTGAAATCAGGGAGAAAGCCAGACAGACTCTGAGGCTTGAACAAATGTTATCAAGGCATTGAGACATTTTCTTATGTCACAATTTAGGATGCTGTGTTATTCTGCCTTCATGATGTATTAAATGTTCCCCCTTTTAATTGGAAATATGAAAACAAGGGCTGGAGATGTAGCTCAGTTGGTAGAGTGTGTAACCTGTACGAAGCCAATGCTCAACCTCCCAGCATTGTATAAGCCAGCTGTGGTGGCACTTGAAATCCTAGCAGGAGGAGTACAAGCTGTCAGCAGTGGTTGGGGTGGGACTGCAGATGAGTCCTGTGCTGGAGAAGGGCAAGAGTCATGTGTCAGGCATGGGACCTTCCTGAGCACCAGGTATGTACCATGGTGCCTTTTATGGGGCACATTCCTCATGGTCACCCCATGAAGCAAATCTAGTCACTTTCTGATGTACAAATGAGGCCACCCAGGCTTAGAGATTTAAATAACTGGATGACCCAAATCTAGAGACTTCAGAGCCTGCGTTCTTACCTACAAACTGCTCTGTGTTTTGAAAGGCAGAAGGAAGGAAGGAGGCACAGGTGCTCTTAGAAACGGGGATGTGTTGTTTTAAAAGGCAATATTCTAGAAGCATTTGCTATAATGGCAAAGCACAGTATGGTTTTTCTGTTAAACTAGAGCACACAGCAACCTGCATTCCTAATAGCAGATTCCCTTCATGGAAAGAAGCCAATCCTCGGAGGTACAGACTATGAACAAGGGTGCAAAACTAAAACTAAAATAAGCAGGGCATGGAGGCGTACACCTGTAATTCAGCACTTAAGGGGTAGAGGCAGGAGGATCAGGAGTTCAAGGCCAGCTTTGGTTACACAGCAACTTTAGGGCCAGCTTAAACTATATTAGACTCTATTAAAAAAAAAAAAAAAGGAGAGATAAAACTTATACTTTTGATTTTGTTTTATTTATTTGGATTTTGTTGTTGGTTATTTGTTTGTTTTGAGACAGGGTTCTATAGTTCACAAAGTCAGTATGTAGCCCAAACTGGTCTTGAATGTGTACACTTACATTATATAGTCATTCAAATAAAAGAGTGAAGACAAAGGTGCCACATCAGTAGTGGCAATGACAGTGTGTGTGCATCAAATGCTAATTGTGCAGTGATGGTCCTCCATCACCATCTCTGGACTGAAGAAACTTCTTAGGAGCACCTCCAACCCCCTCCACAGATGCTCTCGGGATTCATTTGGCTTCTCAGCACATGCTACGCATACAGAACAGCAATTTTTGATGTGTCCGGGCTCTGGAGAGGACTGTGCACTGCATATGCTTGTTTGAGTTATGACTCTGGGAAGTGGGCTAGACTTCAAAGTGGGGTGAGATTACATTTGGAAAAGAACACCACATGCACCGCATTTAATGTGTATGCCAGGACCAAAGAAATGATCGATGCAAAAGCAAAAAGAATGTTCTTCTTCCTCAGACAGCTGAGTTCTCCACCCTCAGCCCTATTCCATCTAAAGAGAGAAGAGTCTTTCTTGGTGGTAAGCTTGGTCACCTTATCCACTGCAAGGACAGAGGGATAGTGGGGGTGGGGCAGGTATTGGTAGAGAGGGAAAGGAAAGCCTGGATGAGCTCCTGGGGGAGGGGACAGAGGTAAGAGCAGATCACCGAGCATGGAGCCCCAAGACCCCACTACAGGAAAAGGCTGGGAACAGGAGGAAAGCAAAAACTCCTCAGGGAGCAGCCAGTGAGATAGCAGCAAAACCAAAGTGCAGAGAGTTCTAGAAGATCAAAGAGGACCTGGGTGAAGGTGGAGGGTGACAAGCCAGGTCAAGTGCATGAAGGAAAGCAAGGACCAACATTTGACACCAGGACACACACCATGAAGGCCATTGCTGACCTCAATAGGCAGTTTTGGAGGAGTGGTTGGGATGAAACTGACAGCAGTGGGCTTAGAAGGAGAAAAGTTCATTTGTGGACAGTGAGTGTTGACCCTTCTCTGCAGGGATTTTGCTACTGAAGGGAAGAGAGACACCAGAAGGAAACTGGAAAGAAGGGAAGTAAAGGAAGGCACCCTTAAGACCTGCATGCTCTCATGCTGATGGGAATGGGTAGAGAGATTTTTGTGCAGGAAAAAGTGCAGAATTACTGGCATAAGTGTCCTTGACATGCAGAGGCAAGATGCATCCTGACTGAAAGCACAGAAGGCTCCTCTGAGGGCAGAGGAGGAAGGCAGGGCAGATGCCAGCGAGTGGAGGTGCTGGCTGTCTTCTCTGTGTCGGTGTGGAAAGTTCTCTGAGAGCAGCCACCGTAGGGGAACTTCTCAGAGCTTAAAAAAATGACAGAAGCTCCAGTTTGGAAATAATTAAACAGTGAGAAGAAAAATATGTCCTTTATTTCAACAGAGGACTACCAGGAACTCATTGAAGACATAGTTCGAGATGGCAGGCTCTATGCATCTGAGAACCACCAGGAAATACTGAAGGTAAGTACCTGCCTCAGACACGTGAGTCAGCCACGGGCTCCACATACATAGCTCTACCTTCTAGACACTGAGCCTGTGTGACCAAGGTCAGCTCCACCCTTTCCTGTCACTTAATTTTGTTAAATATCCAGTTTCTGTCTTTTGTGTTTTATATATATATAAATTTTAGTGTTATATATATTTTTTCATATATCCACAATGTATATTTATCTTCTCTACCCTCTCCCCTAACTCCTGCCAGACCCTGCCCAAGGAGGTTCCTTCCCAACTTCATATTCTCTCTCTCTTTTTCTAAATAACCCACTGAGTTCAATGAGTCCAATCACAGTATATACAATTAGTATATACAATTAGTGTATGTACACAGTTGTAGGGCCAGCCACTGGAGCATGGGCCTTCTCTCTGAAGAAAACTGACTCTTTCCCAGCAGCCATCGGCTGCCAACAGCGCCTCAGTTAAGGATGGGGCTTTCTGAGCTCTCACTCACCATCCTGGAACTCTGGCTTGACTTTATACTGGTTTTACGCAGGCAAACACAGCTAGAGTTTATGAGTACAACAGGTATTGGGTATTTGTGGAGGGGCAGGTGCGAAAGGGAAATCCAAGTGTAAAAACATATAGTGTTTTAATGTTCAACCTGAATAGTGAAAGACCTCTGCCTCCTAGTTTATGCTTCAGGCTCAAAGCCCACCACATTTTAGGTACTTGTAAATAGTCAATAGCAAATACCATATCAGTAACCCCAAACTATTTTCCAAATCTCTATGTTGTATCTCATCTGGTTGAGAAAAACAGTTTTTACATATCAAATCTCCTTTCATAAGGTAATAAGGCATACTTATTATTAACAATTAAGGAGAATTAAACCTGGAAAGAAGATAGCAATCAGAGGAAACGGTTGCCACCAAGTGATTTCTAGCTGGAGCTCCTGTGGATCATGAGTCATTATGATCCCGTTGGCAAGATGTCAGGTTTCAGTGTCTTGGCTCCATAACAAAACTGTGTTCTTTTCAGGATAAGAAACTGATCAAGGCTCTGTTTGATGTCCTGGCACATCCCCAGAACTACTTCAAGTACACAGCCCAGGAGTCCCGAGAGATGTTCCCAAGGTCTTTCATCCGGCTGCTACGTTCCAAAGTGTCAAGGTTTCTGAGGCCTTACAAATGACTCAGTGTCCTACTGCGGGCTCCGTGGGCCGAAGCCATCTACCCTCTATATGTCAGCCCGCCATCGGGTCATCATCACGCCCAGTATCTGCGACTCGTTAGGGTTCAGTTTTTATAGATAATACAGATGTCTTGGCAAACTGAACTTGGGTTTTCTTTCCCAGCATTTCAGATGTGGACTGCAAATGGCTTTGAGTTCCACTGTGTGGGCACATGTTCTGGATGTGGCGAGGGCTAGCTGAAATGGCCTCCTTTTGGGTTCTCATTCCTCTGACGGTCTGTAGTGGAAAGGAGGCCACAGAAGGGCCACTCTTTCCAGGCCAGTCCTCTCCCAGGAGCATCTGTTCTCATGCAGACCAGGACAAACAGACAAGCAGGAGGGGAAGGCAAGCGCGCTGGGAGCCACCCAGGCCTTCTGAGTCATGGAAAGACTCAGGTCCTCTCAGCTTTCTCCAGCATCTGTGGTGCCAGTTTAAGCCTAAATGTGTGAGTTCTAAGCAATGATGACTTAAGGAAAAAAAAAAACTAAAAAGAATTAGAAATAAAAAGGGCAGTGTAGCTCCTCTGGGGGCGCGCGCGCGCACACACACACACACACACACACACACACACACACACACACACAGCAAATCCAGAGGGCTGGGCTGGTAGCTAGGGACCTGAGAATTCTTGGGTGTGATCTGAATGGCTGGGAGTTATCCACCCATCCAGGGGCAGTACTGCCAGGGCTCCTCCCAGAGCCTTGTGACTGGTACAAGGGCCTTCCTTTCCCATCCTGCCAGAGGGAAGCTGAGTCCTAGGTGAAGTGGCATCACACAGGGCACTGTCATCCTCGGAAGGTGCAGACCCACGCTGGCTCACAGGTTGTGCAGTTGAGCTATTCTGGTCTGCACAGTGGGACTGAATGGTGATCCCCTCCCACAGGAACTTTGCTTTTCCATATACTGAGCTTTTAAACACTCTACACCTTCCCTCAGGCAAAAATTATATTACAGTGAATGAAGAAAAGATTCTGTTGGGCTAGAGAGCTAGCTCAGTGGTAGAGGCGCTTGCCTGGGCTTGGCCCTCAATACCACTACACTCCCCCTCCCCAGCAATCCTGTCAATCAAGCTGCCCTCTCTCTAATGGACAGGCTGACTACACATAGCCAGAGGATCTTTTTTTTCTTTCTGGGGCAATTATTACCACATAATTCTGTATACCTATGTACTAAAGAAAAAGTCTAACAAGCATTTAAAAAAGAAAACAGGATTTCATTATTATTAGATCTGCTTTTCCACCTCAGTGTTGTTTTTAATCTATTAATGATATTGACTTTTTCCTTATTTTATTCTTTTTTTTTTTGTTAAAGTTCCGGTCTTACTATGTAGCCCTGGCTAGCCTGCAATTCTAAATGTAGACCAGGATAGACTCAAACTCACAGAGTTCCACCTGCTTCTGCCTCCCAAGTACTGAGATTATTGGTGCCACCATGTCTGGAGACATTGGTGTTGTTAAAGGTTCTAATGAAACACTTTATTATTATTTGGCTAAATTTTCTCTTTAAGAATTTGAATGTCTTGCTAGGCACACTGGCACTTGTAATCCCATCACTCAAGAAATACAAACAGGAGGATCAAGAATTCAAGGTCACCCTCAGCTACAGAGGGAGTTTGAGGCCAGTCTGGGCTACAAGAGACCTTATCTAAACAAACAAACAAACAAACAAACAAACAAACCACAACCACCAACAAAAACCATATTCAGTTTAAAAAAAAAAAAAGCGTTAAGAGGTGGATGTGGTGCATGCCTTTAATCCCAGCACTTGGGAGTCAGAGGTAGGTGGATCTCTGTGAGTTCAAGGCCAGCCTAGTCTACAGATCCAGGAGAGCCAGGGCTACACAGAGAAAGCCTGTCTCAAAAAAACCAAAACAAAAATCACTAAGGGGCTAGCGAGATGGCTTGGCAGTTAAGAGCACTTGCTGCTCTTGCAGAGACCCCAGGTTCGGTTCCCAGCACTCATTTAGGTAACTTACAACAACCTAAGCTCCATTTCCAGGTGCTCTGCCACTCTCTTCTGGCCTCTCTGGGCACTGCGCACATATGTGTTGCGCATATACTCAGACGCACACACATACCTGTGCAGTTTAAAAATAATAAATTTTTGTTTTCAATGTTTAAAAATTTGTTTTATGTGTAGGTGTTTTCTTTGCATGTATGTCTGTGTATCATGCATGCCTGGCCCAGAGAAGCCAGAAGATGGTATTGGATTCACTGAAACTGGAGTTACGGATAACTGACTTTAAGCCAATGTGTGGGTACTGGGAATCAAATCCAGGTCCTCTGGAAGAACAGTCAGTGCTTTTAACTGTTTCCCAGCTCTCTAGCCTCTAATCATTTTTATTTTTATTTTGAGGCAGGGTCTCATTGTATATCCCTGGCTGGCCTTGAACTGCCTATGTAGATCATGTTGGCCTTGAACTTGCTCACCGGCTTCTGCCTCCTGAGTGCAGGGACTAAAGGTGTGCACCATCACACTGGCTATAAAAGAAATCTTTAAAAAAATCATTAAAATGAACAGTCGGCTTTTGATATGCTACAAGTCCACCTACATTTCTGAGTTTGAAATAGGGTGGAAATTCAGATTTTACCTGTTAGTGACTGATAAGAAGCACAGGAGGGCTGGGCCCAGTAGCTCTGTGTTCATGTTAGTGTATTGGATTGTTTCCCCAGAAGGCTGGGGGTGGGAATGCTTGGGGGGTTGGCAGGAGGCTGCATTGAGCCAGTGGTTCTGAAGTATCCTCCAGGAGCAGACCATATACCATAGCCATGCTTCTGGACAGGCGTGAGCCCCTAGGATTGTCAAGCTTTTACTCTAGGCATATCAGCCTCTCTGAGAGATTCTGTAGCCCTGCCAGGAGCCTGCCTAACTAGCCAGGCAATTGGATGCCTGCTAAGTCAACTCTCATTGCATATCTGTGCCACAAACTATTTTAGGCCCTAGAGATTAACCAAAGGCCTCAGTAAGAAAAAAGGGCCCTAGCTCTCACGGGGCTTGTATTTCAGGAGGAAGAGACAATGAACTTGAGTTGTTTAGTGGAGGTGTTATAAACTAAAACTGACTGGTGTAATAGTGGCTGCTCTAGGTTTGGGGACTGTACAATCTATATGAGGCTGTGACCTCTCAACTGAAAACTACACAGTAAGGAGCCAGCCTGGGGAAACTAACCTGGGGAAACCAGAGGGAGAAACACTCCAGAGAGGGGCACCCTAAGGGCAGAGGCATAGGCAGGGACATGCCCGTGAGCATGGAAGTCTAGTCAGAAGGCAAGTGGCATCCGACCGGGTCAGAGAACCACAGATGGGCCAGATTCCATCAGCTGTGGAACTCAGAAGGGGAGGAGGTTTGGGTTTAATTGCAAATGTGCTTTGAAGTCTGTGATGGACTTAAACAGAGGAATGGGATGATGGGTTTTTTCTTTTTTGTATGTGATGAGTGCATGTTGGCCTGTGTGTGTGTATGTATGTGTTCGCGCATCTGGATGTGCGTGTGTGCATGTGTGTGTGCGTCTGCCTGTGTGCACACAGTATCACACACACATATATATGTGGAGGTCAGAGGACAATCTGATGTCACTCTCAGATGCTGTCCACCTTGTTTGTTATGACCTGGGCTCTCACCAGCCTGAAGCTCAGCGATAGGGTGGCTGGTGAGCCTAGGGATCTCCCAGCATCTGTCTGGCCAGCAATGGGATTACAAGCACACTCCACCATACCAGCTTAACTTTTTTAAATAAGGATTCTGGAGATGGAACTCAGGTCCTCATGCTCATACATCAAGTACTTTATCCACTCACTTTACAGACCTTCCCAGCACCCTCTCCCACCCCCACTTATGTTTTTTAAAAGTCCCAAGGACTCCTGCTTAGAGGAAGCAGGCACAGAAGCAGCATACAGGAGGCTGGAGCCACAGAGCAGACACTCATCTGGGTGGGCAGGGGTAAGGCTCCAAAGCTGAGTGTCCACCTTCCTGCCATTAGAGCTGGCTCTGTGGGTGAGTTCTGAGCAGGCATGGGAGTCTGTGAGTCCCACCTTCCAGCTGTGGATATTGTTCTGTAGCCGTGTGCTGCATCGGCGGATCTAGCAATGTCCCCTCCGCTTCCAATGCTAATGAGAGCCTGCCTTAACACTAACAGATGATTACCTTCCCGTGGGGAAATTGCTTCCTCTGAATCATCCTTCGAGCTGTTAAGTGCAAAGCCTATGGCGTTTGCTGGATTTAAGTTTGCAGATGATTCTCAAAAGGCATGTGGGAACTTGAGAAAGGCAAAGCTGAATGTAAGAAGAAAGGGCTCACTTGCCCTGAGCCTGAACTTTGCAGGAAGCTGGACCAGGGCTGTGACCTGCTGCAGACTGCCTCAGCAGTTAGTCCATGCACCTAGGGATCCACCCCCCCCCCCCAGCCCAGCTACAGTCCTCTCAGAAGAGATGCCACTGTGTAGGGCTGTATGCATCTGTTCCGTGCCCCAGAGCGGGGTGCGGTGGGTCCTGAGGGATTTACCCATATCTACACCACTTCTCAGGAGCATCTGAGAGGCAAATGGGCCAACTGAAGCTAAATGGTTGCTCATTAAGTAGAGGAAGCTTCTTACCCATGGACACCTAATAGGCCAGCCATGAGCTGTCCCCAGAGCAGGTCCTGAAGGAGGCCAGAAGGCACTCATCTGTGGGGAGTTAGAGGCCCCCATGAGCACTCCTTCCCACGACTCTCTCCTATTCTAGGGGTATGTGAGCTCCTAGTACCCTGTCTATCTCCTTTCTCTAGGTATTCCTATCAGCCTGCAGGAGACTGGCTGGTGGCGCAGTGGGACTGTTCCAGTGACTAAAGGCAGTGAATGTAGCCACAAGGACACAAGTAAGCTGGACATGGCAGCTCACATCTGAAACCCCAGCACTCAGGAAGTGAGGGCAGCAGTGTGGCTTTCATTCTGAGGCCAGCCTAGGCACATTGCAGCCACCAGGCCAGCCATGGCTAAAAGAGAAAGACTCCGGAAATAAGACACAAATATCTATCAAGGATCTCCCCCAAATAGCACAGAAGAAACAAAATAGATCTAGAAAAGTGAAAACACTTTAATTTCCAGGCAAGTTGTTCCAGTT